GCTTGCATTTTGTCAGGTTCATTACTGCTAATGATATGAGAAATCTTTAGTCATTGCTATTCTGTTTCTGTATTGCACAATGAGTATTAATTGATAATTTGATGTAATGTAAGTGCAATACATATCTAAAAATTTCAATTAGTTAACATGTATAGTTAACAGTAAAAATCATTTTGCAAGAGTAAGTAGGTGGGAACTCGAAGGGGTGTTGAGAAAAAATAATATTAAGAAATCTGTTGTGGACACCACTTGACTTCCTTGTGTGCCTAATAAATTGTACACATTTTTTGCTGCAATGCATTTATTTCTTTAAATTATTCTGACTTAATAAACCGACCAAAAAAGACATAAAAAATTGCAAATTATTTAAATTGAATATCCTGATCATTTTTGGTCAAACTTTTTTATTTTTTCATAATGAGTATAGGACCTGGGAGGCCACATTAAAAGTTAGATTTTGTTACCTGTCCAAAATTAATTTTTTTTTCAAATTTGAAACATCCAAAATATGATTATTTTTATCATTTAAAACACTTTTATAATTAGAAGTGTAGGTATATGACCAACGATTGTGGAAAAAGGCTGGTTATTGGGTTGCATGTATACATATCCTAATTTCTATTTGCTGCAGCTTTACACTTCTTTTCCTAGGAGATAATCATAAATAGAAATTGATACTTATATAAAATCATATAATTAAACTTATATATATATATATATATATATATTCTTGGTACTCCTGATTTCCATAAAAAAGGGGGTGGGCACGCAACTGTTATTGCAGTCCCATATGCAAAATTTCAGCTTTCAATGGCTAATCGGTTTTGAGTTATGTGAGATATATACATACGTACATACAGAGGTCATGAAAAAACCCACTTTGAATCAATTTTACAATCTGGTGTAAAATAAAGAAGTCTTTAGTCTATCTGTATGTACATATGTCATGCAAAAAAATGGTCAAAATCAATTTGGAAATGATCAAACTGGATATTTCCATTGGAGTCTAAAACCCAAAATTTTCCATATTTATAATACTTCCTTTACTTGCTACAAAGAAATAAAAAGGGCAATTAAAAAAAAAGTTGAAAGCTTTAGTTTATACGCATGTTTCTTAAACATTTCTTTCATTTGCTTCATAATATTGGGTGGAAAGTTCTACGAGAGACAGAGTACTATTGATAACCCTGCAATTTAAATTTGTTCATACAATTATAATGATCTGTCTAATCTCAACAGGCCACTGGCAATTTTAAACATTTGGAATATGTGATTGTAGTAACTTGTATTATTTGTCTATCCTTTAAAATTTGTAGTATCTTAAATTTGATTATATTTCACTTTTTTACATGAATCTTATATCTTCATTAGCTTTGAAGGTCTTAGCATTTAACCATTTTATTTTAGATGTTATTCGGCAGCTCGAGCAGCCCAGCTTCTTTTGGAGCATTTTCTTGTCTAACGCGAATTCGGGTGTTTATTCATTTATCTTAATACCTAGAGTCGCACATTTCTTGTAAATACACTTTTATACTCTACATGACTCTACTTATCTAAAATTAATTTCAAATAAAAAAATATGTATTATTATCAGTAATTGTTATAGTAACTATTATTGTATATATATCACCTTGCTTATTCTCTAATGATTCAAAATGTAAAACGTTCTACAAGGGGTAGGGTCTCGAACCCAGATACCCCAGTGTCAATTTCACCACTCCATCAACACTAATATTGGGTGAGATAAATTAAGTTTTTACATCATTCTTAATTATTTCATTGCATTTTGTAGTATATGCATAAAAATATTCATTTACTTATTTAATTTGATAACTAGTTTATTATGCCTGGCTTGGAAAATTGTACCATTTGATTAATGAAGTTCAGGGAAGTTAAAAGTTGAATTTCAGAGCGAACTCTGAATTTTTTAATTCACTTTGTATTTTAAATTTATGTAGCATAGTTGAAATATTAACAAAATATGTGAGAGTGAAATAATAATAATAATAAAAAAAAAAAACTTAAAAAATAAAGCAAGACCAAAGTATCAAGAATAAAATAAAGGATCTGACTGCAAAGCATTGAATATCTTGATCTCATAATAATGGATATGTTAAATAAAAACAGCAATATAATAATTGAGAATTTAGAAAACATAAATATTTTGTTATCAGTGATTTCCAGTTTTTGCTGCATGTCATTATATCTTTGATCATTGTTCTGATATTTTAGTTTCATGCATTTTGCATTAGTTAGCATATTATGTAGTTATTTATATAGTCAAAAGTCTTTAATCCGGACTCGTCGGGACTTCGTGATTCTCGGACTTGTCGGTGGCGATTCCGGATTATCGGTTTTTCCGGATTATAGATCATCAGTTTAAATCTGGTAAGATGGCATGCAGAAATTATAAAATTAAAAATATTAAACCATAATTTATGAAATAAAGAGCAATTATGATCTAAAGGGTATCAAAATTACAAAAAAAAAAAAAAAAAAAAAAACACTTGATATTTATTTGTTTACTTTATTAAACTTTTCCTTCAATGTAAGTTGTTTAAGTTGCTTCGTTTTATGTGCCAATACTTTCTCTTTAATTCTATAAACAGACATAATTTCTTGTTCAGTTACAAAGTTCCACTGTTCAAGTCCTATGATTGCTGTGTCGAGAATACCGACTAATTTGTCAATCGAAATTTTTTTGTTTTCAATAACCTCTCTGTCACTTTCTTCACTGTCGGAAGCGATATTTTCTGGATCTAGAACCATACTGCAGATTTTGCTGTCTGTTAATTGATTGATGATTGGGGCATTATCTTCGCAATGAAAAACTTCTGTTATATCATCGTCATTTATTACTGGTTCGCCACATTTCTTTACAAAATCCAATAACTGGAAAATTTCACCTTCAGTTTGAGATGTCCCAAAACCTTCAAATTCGCGGCTATCATCTTCATCCTCCTCACCATGAAATATGGTAGCTGGCCATAAATTATGCCAAGCATTTTTAACGTACCTGGAGACACATCCTCCCACGATGTTACGATGCTCCACACAGCAGATTTTATGCTAAAAAATTTCAAAAAGTCTTGAATAGTCTTGCCACTGTTCAAGAAATTTAACATAGATTTGAAAAATCCTGCTTTATATTTTTATTTCAGCGCTTGCAGTATTCCCATATCCATAGGCTGAATGATAGACGTACAATTTGGAGGGAAGAATAATACGGATACATTATCTTTTACTAAAACTTTAAGTGAAGTATGCGCCGAACAGTTATCAACAATCAGGACTATTTTTGAGTCATCAGGTAAACCAACCGAATTCAAATGTCGCCAAGCCTCTGGTATAAAATTATTTTCAAACTTTTGTGGTACATATTGCCAGAAAAGACCAGTTTCGTCAGCATTGTAAATTTGTTCTGGAGATAATTGTTCACTAGTAATGAATTCAATGAATTCATTTGCAAATTGTTCAGCAGCTTCAGTATCAGCTGAAGATTTTTCACCTAAAATTTTGAATTGTCTTATACCATGGTGATTTTTAACTTTGGTTAACCAACCTGTTGAATATGTGCACTCTCTGTTTAAGTTCCTTTCTTCATGAAATATTTTGGCTTGAGCCATAACCATTCAACCCGTCAAAGGCATGCCCTCGCTGCGACGCTGTCTGACCCATTCAATCATCGCAGTCACTTTTAGCACAATGAATCCTTTTTCTGTTATTCATTGTAAGTGGGGTGTCGGAATCTACAAAAAATTCAAAAAGTTCCTTTTTCTTTTGCCTATGTCATATACAATGGACTTTCCAATGTTATACTCCTTTTCCTTCCATAATTTTGAGACGGATATGCCTTTATCCATTTTTTGCAGCAATTCCACTTTTTGTGTAATGGACATTGAAACATGCTTTCACTTTGTAGATCCTTTGGCAGCTCCAGAATCGGAAATTCTATTTCACATAATCGAAAGTTCAAGCTTACTTTTATAAAATTGCTCTAACAGTCTGCAAAAAGTAATAAGCCGGATCAAATTCGAAGATTAAAGAACAATGCAGTCTTCAACATTAACTGAAATAGATAATTAGATAATTTTAGCTTAGCTTATACCGTCCGTTATACATTAAACGTGCATGTGTAAACGTATTATGGCATGTGCATAAACTGCACATGCACATGCGCAGAAGGTTTGTAGCTTTGAGGTCCAGATTATAGGTCATTCCGGATTATGGACGTCCGGATTAAAGACTTTTGACTGTATTTGTTGCTGGTAGTTTGGAAAATTTTAGCATTTTCTAAATCTCTATTATTTAGTAAATAGAATCTAAATTAATGGATGCAAATTACAGTTGAAATTCTACATGTTTTCATAATTTATATTTTTAGATTTAACATGGCAACTTTTTTTGTTATATTTGCTACTTTTAAATTTTGACACAATTTAAAGTTTGCAGCATTGTTTATTTCTTTGAAATTTTTTATTTTCTGGCACAAAACAAACTGGTGTAATGAATAAAAATATCTAGAACTCTTTATAAAAGAATTTTTTTGACAAAATTATCATGCAATTCATATTTCTTACAATATTATATAACTTATTAGATTCTGTAACAAACAAACAACAACAACAAAAAAAAAAAAAAAGCTATGTAACTTTGAGGTTGGCTAGTCAGGGAGACTTTGCCTTTCCTCTTCCTAATTTTTTAAATTGGACTCTGCTGCTGTTGGTAGTAAATAAAAAGAAAACTCTGAATGACTCTGTGGCATAAAATTTGTAATCAAACATTGTAATATAATGTTCTTTGTAACTGTTTTATGTTATGTTTCTCAAGTTAACATTTTCGAGTTGCTTGGTAATTCAATATTCAGAAGGAAATTCCCTTCCCATGCGACAATTCTATGTATGCAATGTATAAATATTCTTACAAATAACTATTTTCCATTCATTATATAAATTAAACATTTTAAATTACTATTCTTAAAGGACTTTTTTATTTTGTAGGTTGCTATTAAAAATTATGAACAAGAAATGAAAAATCGGAAGTTAAATGAAGAAACAAAGCAAGTAGACTATAACTTTTTTTTTTCAAACTTTGTGTTTATTCCACACTTCATAAAAAAATTACTTGTATTAAGATGAATTGCTGTTAATTACTTAACTGCAGTACAAGTTACTATCTGGAAAGATTATCTGGAAAGCTCTTGAAATACCATATTCTGAATATGTGAAAGTTCTGGATAGCTGAGTGTATAAAAAGTGGAATTCACATAAAAAGGCTAAATGAATTTGAAGAATGTTTTCTATAAAATTATAAAAACAGTCACATTTGTTACTAGCTTGAATATCATAAGCTTACATTCAAAGTAATATAAGACTGCAAATATCCAACATCCAACGAGAAAAGAAGTGCATTTCAGACATAAAAGCCAACACATTTTGTAGCCTGAAACATCTGATCTAATTATGAAATCCAGCCAAATGTGAAATTTGGTTGAGATGGTGACATTTGTTCTGGCAGAAGTTAAAATAAACATATTGTTCTTTAGTTAGTTAGATAATAAAGAGATACAAATTATGGATATAACATATGAAAACTTAAATTGCTCATCATATTATTTCATGTTAAATCTCCCCCTTTTTATCCAAACTTGCGTATTGTGGCCTTGTTTAATGCCTGGATTGTGTAACTTTGAAAATGCACTGCCTCCTACTGTCCCAAATATTAACACATTAAAGGTGGGGGATCTTGACGAAAGTATGCTAGGTAACGCAGGTACCGCTGTGCCTCGTTTTTTTCATCCTAGAGCGGGCGATATTTTGTGTAAGCATAAACAAATTTAGACTTAAAAATGTTTATTTAAACTCTTAAAACTACAAGAAATATTAAAAAAGAACTAAACACTAATTACAAAAAATGTTTTAAAGTACATATTTATGAGAAGAATCTAGTATTTTTTATGTGATAATGTTGATAACACTGGTCACGGTGAAGAGGTGCATTGCAAAACTCGCATTTGAAGCAAGTCAACTTTCTTTTTTTATGTGCCGCACAAACTATGCAGTTTCGTTGGGCATATAGCTTTTTGCCTTTATTTTCTATCTGAATTAATTTGTGCTTTTTGATGTCTAGCGAAAGATGTTCAGATGGATCAATTTTATATCGTGGAGTCCGTGGTGCCGAGTTCGATGTACCAGGTTGTGGCTCTTCAATGTCCATCAAATCGTCTGCATATATATCTTTATTTTCACGTGAAACCATATTGAAGGATTTTTGATGTCTAGCGAAAGATGTTCAGATGGATCAATTTTATATCGTGGAGTCCGTGGTGCCGAGTTCGATGTACCAGGTTGTGGCTCTTCAATGTCCATCAAATCGTCTGCATATATATCTTTATTTTCACGTGAAACCATATTGAAGGATTTCAAAATTTACTGTAAGTAGAATTTGAACAACCGAACAGCTTCAAACGACAAAACATACTAACTACAAATGTAAAGTGGTGCATGGATTGCACAATGTAGTTGCGAACCACATTGCACAAACTACAGTCGAGATAAATGCGCAAGCTACAATTGAGATAAATCATATTACTACGACTCCCGCATTTAAGCTACAGTCAAGATAAATCATAGTACTACGACTCCCGCCTTTAAGCTACAGTCGAGATAAATCATAGTACTATGACTTTCACATATAAGCTACAGTTGAGATAAATCGTAGTAACTATGACTCCTGCCTTTAATGTGTTCAAATAACTTTTCCAAAATGTAAGGGAAAAAATAGAATGCACATCCTTTTTCTGCTAAAATTAAAACGCTTTATTGAGTTTGCATTAAACCTAAGCTAACTTTTTATGATTGTGTTATGACATCATGCTTTTCCATTAAGGGCACTAAATCTCACTTTTGGGAGACAATGTATACATGTTAACAGTATAATGTGCTCCATAATGGTGTTACAAATCTCTCATTTATTGAATTTTTTTTGGGGGGGGATTTCTAAAGTTCTGAAAAATTTCAATTACTTGAGCTTTCCAGCTAGTTGAATCCCAGATGGTCAAGCTTTTACTTTATTTAAAGTAAGAGTTTTCAATGGGGGAAAAAATTGTTGCAATACATGCTGTGACAATAAAGTTTGGTGAATGTGCCCATAAGCATAAGATTCTTCTCTAAATCAGGAAAAATCTTTTGTAATCCTGTTATTTGGAATGCACTTTTGACAATGACTACAGTTTGTAAAAAACTGTGAGCAAAGTTCCCTAGAACAATCTCTCATCACACAACTTTGAGTGTTTGGCATGTCTGAAACATTCTTCTTTTAGGAATTGCTTCAGGTTCAGGAATAGGTGACGGAGAGCAGAGAATCTGGTAGCTGTCAAAGGTTAGCAGGAATTGTCTTAACCCTCCTGTGAAGAAAAAATAATTTTTACATGGCCAGACAAGTGTGAGAGTACATAAACAATATGTTACAGATGATTAGCTTTTTTGCGTGAGAGTACATAAATGATACATTACAGATGATTAGCTTTTTTGTAGTACGTAATGAACAGTTTAGTCTTACAGAAGTTAAGCATGTTTTATAACTAAACATGCAGTTTTAGAGTGTAATATCTAAAGTAACACTAAACTAAAATTATTAAATTAATATTAAATGAAAATTAATAATAAAATTAAAGTAAAATTAAATATGCACAAATTATAAATTTACAGTCATTAAAGTGCTTAGACTAAATACAAATACATTTATCCAAAGTATATCTAAATATTTAAAATTATGTTTAACGTGCACTATGCTTAATAGTTAAATGTTTATGTCAAGTCTTATAATTTATGCTTGACTAGTATCTTGCTACATAGCTGAAAATAAAGTAGATTGTATTGCAGATGTTCTTAATTCATATACCATTTTTGGTAATAAATTTCCTAAAAGATTTCATACTGCAGGTCATTTGAGGGAAATGAGTGAGAGCTGTAAAAGGCATAATGGTCAGGTGAGCCTTCTTATCTGCGGACACATGTACTCGTTTTTTGTTTTTGTTTTGTTTTGTTTGTTTTTGTTGTTGTTAACTCTAATTTTAACTCCTCATGTTTCACAAAGTATACTAAGAGGCTTAAACAAGTAAGTTATAGCATTAACAAAATAAACAAATGTACAGTAGCACTACAAATGGGGGAAAAAGTATTAAGAAATAATAAATTAATTAAAGTAATAAATAAATAAAATGAAAAATAATAAAATAAAGAGAACTCAATAATTCAAATAGAGGATGAAATTTTGAAAAGCAGAAATTGTGTCTTAGATAGAAAAAGTTCAGAAAATATTGGTGGCCAAGGTACAGACAGGTGCTTGAAAGCTGTCTGCAATATCTTCAGCTGCTGGATGTGATGAATGTATTCTCCTCATCACTGCTACCGTAGCTGTGTAAAGCACTGGAGCAAGTCCAAATCACTTTAAATAGTTCTTAAAATTACCATGTCCAGTCAGAAATTGAGTTATTTTAAAATCTGTTGAAAGCTGAACAACTTTTATTCTGTGAAAAATTGTAGGAAAAAAACTTGTGGTCCATTGTGCTTTTGGTGAGGGCAGATATTCTCTGTTCCAAATACATATAGCATCATTTCTATAAAAGCACTTCCAATAAGAAGCAGGAACTCATAGATTTAAATCATTGTGACATTTTTTGGCTATTTTTGCTAGAGTATCAGCTCTCTCTCATTTCCAAAATTTCCACAGTGTCCGTGAATGTAAGCAAAATGAATGACGATATCAAGATCTTGCAAGGTCTTGATAATAACTTGAATTTCAACTACGAGTTTCTCTGAAACATTAATTTTCTGTAATAATTGTAGTGAAGAAATAGAATCATTACATATTAAAATGTGCATTGAACTCAAACTAATACAAGAATCTTGAATCCATTTCACAGCAAGGTTTAAACATAGTAATTCAGCCTGAAAAACGGAGCACTTATCATTAATTCTGTACTGTTTGAAATATTTTTCTTGCTTGTTTTTATAAACAACAGAAGCAAGGCTGACCTTATCATTCATCTGTCTGTAAAACAAATTAATTTGTACTCATCAAGAACAACATCGGAACAGCCAACAACTGGTATAGCATTCCCGTTAAAAGAATGTGTGGCAAAGAAAAAAAACTGGAAGGTTTTGTCAAGAAAATTTGAGGAGGATTGCCTGCAAATGCTTTCCTTCATCATCACAATATTTCTGAAAATTTCAGTATCTATGGGTGGAATACCAGTGGCAGTAAAAAGTGGCTCATAACTAATAGTCCTGTAACTGTGAATAATTCTTAAAAAAAAAAAATCTTCTTTGAATTTTTTTTTTGAGAAGCTTACAGTTTACTTCAGTCCTCAAACCCTTCATGCATGGAAATAACTGGCACTATTCCTTGCCTATAAGATCAATTTAAGAGCATCTGTTCTGACTCTGTAAGTGATTTTAGAAATTTTAAATAATCCTGAGAATACCTTTCACATTTTCCTGAGAGATGGAAAGTATGATACTTCCATTGAAATTTATTATCAAAGATAACTCCTAAATACTTTATTTAAATAACTTCTTCTGTAGGAATGTCCTCAATAAACTTATTCTGTAGTCAATAGTCATCTTTTTATGTACCATCATAACTTTGTTTTTAAGTGGATTGAATTTCAGTTTATAAAATTTAGACCACTGAAAAGCAGTATCAAGTAAATTTTGAGACAAAGAACAAGCATCAACAAAACTTTTGCATTTAATAATTAAAAGCAGATCTTCTACAAAAGCAATTTAAAAATAGTTTTGGAAAGCAGATAGTTCACGCTTTAAAGTTCATTAATTATATATAAGATTCTGCAAAAAGGGTCCAGAGACTGTTTTTGGAGACAGCCCTTTTACAAGCTATATTCTTTGATAATATCACCTACAGAAAGTTCTACAATGTGAGTGTGCAAAAAATCTGTAGTCAGATAGAAGATGTTCCTAGGTACAGCAGCACGTTTCAATAATTCTATGATTCCTGGCTGCTGAGCATTGTCAAAAGCCCCTTTTATATCCAGAA